CTCTAATCCTTCTATGCCGCATCATGTCTGCAAATTAAGGAAATCCCTTTATGGTCTCAAACAAGCCCCTCGGGCTTGGTTTGACAAACTGTTTCAAGCTCTTCTTCAGCTTGGTTTTCAGCAATCTTCCTCAGATGCTTCCTTATTTGTTCTCCCAGGTCCTACTCCAGTCATGGTACTTGTGTATGTAGATGATATATTAGTCACTGGACCTGACTCTTCCTTATGCAGTCTCTTCATTCAAAATCTCGGTACTATTTTTCCAGTCAAGGATTTGGGTCCACTACACTACTTCCTGGGTTTAGAAATTCATAGATCTTCCACCGGTCTCTTCCTCCATCAAACAAAGTATTTACTTGATCTTCTCCGGAAAACTAATATGGCTGGTGCGAAGCCTTGCTGCACTCCCCTTGGCTCTAACAAATTGGATCACAGTGGTCCTCTTTTCTCTCATCCCACTGAGTATCGTTCCATTGTTGGTGGTTTACAGTATTTGACATGGACACGTCCAGATATTTCGTTTGCTGTGAATCAAATCTGTCAGTTCATGCATGCTCCTCGAGACCAACACATGCAAGCTGCCAAACGGATTCTTCGTTATCTCAAGGGTACTGTCTCTGAAGGTCTATGGTTCAGAAAGGGTACCACTAATCTCACAGCCTTCTCCGATGCAGACTGGGCTGGCTGTCTCTTTGATCGCCGTTCTACTAGTGGTTACAATGTCTTTCTCGGGTCCAATCTTATCAGTTGGAGTGCCAAGAAACAGGCTACTGTGGCACGGTCCTCCACAGAGGCGGAATACAGATCTCTAGCTCACACTGCAGCTGAACTGACTTGGATCTGTAAAAATTTTCGTGACCTTGGTTTTCCTCTCTTTCAGGCTCCCACTCTCTGGTATGATAACATTTCAGCCATCTCTCTTGCTTCTAATCCGGTCTTTCATGCCCGAACTAAACATGTGGAGATTGACTATCATTATATTCGTGAGTTGGTCTTAGCTAATCTCATCAAGGTTCACTTTGTTTGTAGTCAGGATCAGCTTGCTGACATACACACCAAGTCTCTGTCCAAAAGTCGTTTTGCTGCTCTCAAGTCCAAGCTTCCTCTTGTTTCTTCAATTGATCCCAAGCTCAGCTTGCGGGGGTGTATTGAGAGACCTAACCCAGTCACAATTTAGTTACAACAGTAAATAGTTAGTTGTGGTATTTGTGTAATTAGTTGTAGAAGATAAGGTTACTTATATAAAGAGTCTTAGTGACTATATATATCTCAATGTACTGTCAGTTAAAAGATAATGAGAATATCTTCTTCAACATTTCTACATATGTGAGTATAAGCTTCTGTAAATGAGCAAGACAATTTTGGTCATTATCTTATTGAACATATTCTTTCGTGTAATCTCATTTTACTTTACGTAGATAAGGCCTTCCTCTTATGTTGCTTATTTTTGTATCTTATTTTGTTTTTATGCAGCTAGAGGCGGCTAAGGACTATCAGAAGAGTAGCATGAAGTGGACTTGCATTGCCATAGTTATATGCACTTGTGTTATTGCCATTCTTTTGCCTATTTTGCTTCACTCAGTCTAGGCACTAGGGCTAGAGTACCAAGAGCATCTCCGATGTATACGACAAAAGATATATGTCAAATGTTAATTTGATGACCGACGTTCTAATGTTAGATTTTTTCTTCCTCTAACCCATATATTTTTTTGTTGTTGTAAATGATATTTGTAGGATCCCATTTTAAAAATGAAATTGATTAAAAATAAATTTTCAAGATTTATAATTAGTGCAATTGGACCCATACAACGTAATAATTAAAAAATTTATTTCATATGTCAAATTTGGCAGGAAAAAATTCATATATCAATCCACGTGGGATTGTCATATCGGTTAGAGCTTCTTCCTGTTTTCAAATTTAATTACATGACATTCTACTTAAGATTTGACATTTTTTTAAAGATGGTCTGTTCAACTTCAAACATCAATAAACACTAGTATGTGCTTACACACAAAGTGTGTAATTTTTTTATTTTAGTTGTTAAAATTGAAGGAGAGAGGAAGACAGTGAGGAAGAGGGAGTGAGGAGAGAGGGAGAGAGGTTGTCTTTTATTTATTTATTTTAAATTTTAAATTAGAGGTAATAAATTTACATGTAGGTAATGTTAAAAAGAACAATAAAATTTTGTTTTGTGAAATTACTTTATTATCCTTAACTTTTTTGTTGTGGAAAAAAATAAAAATGTCCTTTCATCATTTTTTTAGTTGATAAAGAGAGTTTAATTAATGTAATTATAAATTACTGTTTTTAACTTTTTTGTTGTGATAGAAGATAAAATATATTTTTACCATCTTTTGATTTACAAAAGGATTTCATTAATGTAATTTTAAATTAGATAGGCCTGATGGGTCAGTCCTGGGCTTAATATTCTCGTTAACGCCAAAACGACAGTGTTTCCGCCCGTTTAACCGTTCATCAAATGATTATTACCCGTAGCTTACTAGCAAAAGTATTTGCTCGTATTTTTCTTTCTTCTCGCTCTCCCTCTTCGTCTCCCTCTCTCATCTGAAACCTGAAAGCCATGGCCTCTCTAGCGGCGGCGGCAGCTCGTCAACTTGCAACTTCAAGTCGCATCTCCACCACGAGGACCTCGTCTCTGACTTCCAATCTAATCCACCGCCGTGGCCTCGCCGGCGCTGCTGGTAAATCCCAAATTTTCAGTCTTGTGTTTTGTGCATTGTAAATTTCCGATCTGATTTTAATTTCAATAAAAAAATGTAAAATTTGCAGATCACCATGGACCCCCAAGGGTTAATGTCTGGCAAGACCCGTTGAGCCCATCTAAATGGAAGGAAGAGCATGTCAGTCTCTCTCTCTCTCTCTCCCCCCATTTTTTGTGGTATTCGATCGCATGATTATATATAAATATATATTGTCGTGGTATTCAATTTCATGAAATTAGTTTCTTGTTGAAATTTAATGGGTTGTGATGTTTTGGTGCTTTTTTTCTAGGTTTTCATTTTTAGCCAATTTTTTGGAATTGAAAACCATGAAGAAAAAGCAAGAATCTTTATGGCTTAATGAACAACATGTAATCAAAAGAATGGATTTTGGTTATTTTGGCCCTTATCCCCCCAATATTAATGAACCACATTTCATTTCATGTTTTATAATTAGATCAAAAGTGAACATTTTTACAGCTTCGATGTTTACCGATTTCTCTTGTGATGAAACGAGTCATGATTTTCGTGGAATATAGAAATTCTAACAAGAGGATTTTAGCTATGGATTTGTGCTTTTACACATTACTTCGTTGAAGTTCATTTGTGTTGTTCTTGAACCACTAGTATAATAGAAATTAGTCGGCACATAAAGTTTTGAACTTGTCTTGACTGGATTATGTACTTTTTCAGTTCGTAATTGTATCTCTGTCTGGCTGGGGTCTACTCATCTATAGCAGTTACAAGTTTTTCTCTGGAGGCAAGAAGGAAGAGGTACTTCGGATTTCTTTCACCCATTATGTAGTGATTTGTTGTGGTTGGGTACCGGCCTAGGCGTTAGACATGCAGAGCAACCTTTTTTTTTGATTGAATGAGCGCTGTTTTCAATTGTTTACAGTGGCTCCTGGTCATTTTTTTTGGTGCAATCGATCAGATATGCATTTGTATAGATTTTGTTAACTGTGATGCCAAAAACTTAATTTGAGCACTCAAGTTGCATCTCCCACTTCATGCTCTTACAATAAATGGTTATCCTACGTTCGCCTCTTCATCGTATTTTTCTTCCTTGTACGTTTTTGGCTGTAGGATAGAGATGGCTTGGTATTAAGTTGTTAGTGGTTCGCTTCCAAGAAAATTTGCAAAATAAACATCAGATGATATTGAACCATGGGCAACAGGCTTGTTTACAATCTTCAAGTTGTTCACATATGATCACTTGATCAAATTATCATCCGGTGTTGCTTTGCTCCTAATGCCTCACATAGAGCTATCAATCAATCGGGTTAGGTGAATTTAGGTTGGGTTGTGTTAGTATAGAGTGCTCTATTCTGTGGTCAAGCTCCATTACATTGTGCCTTTTTCAATGTGTTCGACTATGTTGGCTGGGACTGTCATAGTAATTCTAGCATCAGGGAGGAGAAAGAAAAAATGGGAACTTTAACGAAAATCTTCCGGTACTGTTCATTTTAACGAAAAACCACATTTTTACACTAAAAAATCAATTTTGGTACTATTCATTTTACCCTTTATTTTGTCCTTATCGTTAAAACTCAAAGTTTTCAAGCCCTTTTCATTAGTTTTCCTAAGAAAAAATTGGTTTGAACTAGGTCGACGTCACTAGAAGTGGCCTAGGTATTTTAACGTTCCATTGACGAGTAACTGATGCTACTCTTGTTTGTTTTGGATTGTGATTTTAGCTCTTGCTGACTAATTCTTGTTTCTTTTCAGAAACTGGTGGAAGCATCGCACTGAGGTTTGGAGCATTAGATATTCCCAGAACTTCTTCGAAATAATGAGTTTTCTTGGATATAACGTGTCGTCATATTTCATTTTCTTTGTCAGCAAATGATTTCTGATCAGTCTGAGATTGATACATTGAAAACAAATCGAGGTTAACGGCTTTGTTGGGAGTTCATGTCCCCGTTCAATTGTGTTCGTTTTTGTACTCACTTTTATGATTCGATGCAGTAATGTTCCATGTTTCAATAATATACTGACATCCTCCTCCCTCCCTAGTTCAATTTTTCTTCTGCTATCTTTCAAGGGCAGTTTATCTTATCATGCTCTTGAGGAGTAATCCAATCTTACCCTTAACTTATTCTTCATAGTTTGTAATTTACCGTTTCGTCGATTTTGCCTGAGTTTCTTGCCCTTCCTCCGCATCCCCCACGGCAATGTCTCTCTAGTATTTTGGTAACTAACGCGATAATTAAAGTTTTTGTGATCGGGTTTTGCTTGTGGTGAAGCGATCCATTCATTTTCTTTCGTTCTGCAATTCGTTTTCTTGGCACTTCTTGACAAACCGTTATCCTTGGTTGTATTAGGGACGATTGTTGCTAAATACAACAGCTCTCTAAGCTAAAACATGCTAAACGAAAGCAGAGGCCTGACACTCTTTTTGCATAGAAGTCTTGCCAACTTGTTAAATCCGCTAAAACTCAGACTCGTCGATTTCCTCCCTGTACTCTTCTTTATCTTCTTCCAAACCGGAACCAGATTCGTCAAAGATATTATCATCGGTCGCGTCTGTTTCTTGTTCCTCCGCATCCGCAACTTCCAAATCCGAGTCCTGTGGATCGGCAGTGTTCATTTCTTCATCACTATCTTCCAGTTTCTTGGTATCCTTGCTGTACAGGTTCTGTTGTTGGATGCTTCTGGCTTCGTGCTCTTCCGACTCTCCAACTTCAACTTTTTGTTTTCTATCATTATGTGTTACGCTGTCGAATTTACCATTTACTTTGCTTGTGTTGACGCGGGCAAGCTTGTTCTTCAGCTCTTCGGTGTTTTCAGAGTTTTGAAGCTCCAAACCTTTGACATCTGACGAATTAATGAGGTGATCCCCTGCTAGTTTCCTGTTTGAACCTGCTTCATCTTCTCTTCCCATTAACCCAGCCTGATCATCTTCGAAGAATTTTCTGCTTCTCACACTTCCCACTCCGTCGTTCTCAAGATTTCCCCTATTCTCCAGCCTCCTGTTTCGAGTCACTAATCTCCATTTCTTCTGTCTGTCGCCACCTTTAGGAGTCGCATAAAGTTTCTGCTTCTCGCCTGGTTCAGAGTTTTCAATGTTTCCAACATGCCCGTTTCTTGTGATCTTATTTTCTTCACCATCATATACTTCATGATCAACATCTTTCCCGGTCGTGTTGGTAATTGTCTCAGCCTCACTTGCAATATTAGTTTCTTTAGCACCAGTGACAAAACCACCATCTTTTCCTGTTGTGTTAGTAATCTTCTCAACTTCTTCTGTGCCACCATTCGTTTCCCTCCTATCAGTTTCTCTCTCTCCATTCCCAATTTGATCTTCTCGACCAATGGACTTATTCCCATTTCCATGCGCACCTGAAATTGTTTCCGCGATGTCCTTGTTTCCGGTGGATTCCTGCAATCGATCACCCTCTTCTTTTTTCTCAGCGATCTCTGTTTTCTCTTTTCCCGACACACTGTCATACATTATCAATTTACAAGTGAATTTGATGGATCATCAGTGCTCACCGACCTGACCTTAACCAGATCTTCAACCTGGTGTTTCAGATCCTCAATTTCAGCTTCCTTGCTCTTCAAGGTTTCTACCAATTCCATCGCTTGTGGATTTCCATTATCGGCATTCAGTTTCAGTCTCAGCACCTTGATTTCACTTTGCTTCTCCTCGAGCACAGCCTCCAGGGTCTGTAGTTCCTCTTTAAGCGAACCAATGGTGGATTTCAGCTCCGAGATTCTCCTGTCAAGCTCCATCTTCTGGGTTCTAATTGGGTATAGCTTTGCTTTAATCTCTTCGTTCTTCCTTCTCAATTCTTTGGTGTAGTCTCTCTCCGTCTGCGATATTAACCAATTAACAAAACATTACTAAATATGTATAATCTAGTTAAGTCACACACTTGGTTTGTGCTGTGTTTCATGATTCAACAACTTGTTTGTGTAAATGCATTCGTGTGCTCATTGGGAAGAGATTCATGGACTCAATCTTCTACGTAATTTTTTTTTCTTTCTGAAACAAGCGATATTATGGGAGGGGGAGATTCAAACTCGGAACCTTAACGGAAAAGAATTGAGCTACAAGCCTCTTGCAATCATCCACATAATTAGATTAGTCTGCACTTTGAAATTCCACACTTATAAATGATTTTTAGATGACTTGTAATTCAAACAAGTAACCATTCTTGAAATCCCCATTACATCTGCTTCAAATTTAAGATTCCTATTAGTTAGTTTTAAGGGTTTTAATCATGGGTAGAAGCAATAGGTCATTGAATAAAAGAATAAACAATCATAAATTTAATCATCGCACTTTGTCTTCATCCTTCAAACATAATGGACAATTAGCTGGAGTCATCACTTTTTAACATTTGATTGTAGAAATGATATTTAATAACGATGACATATTAGTCGTATATTGACATATCTATTGACATATTAATGATATATCGATAACATAACGACCACACAACGATGACATAATGATACCTGATCATTTTTACAACTAATGTCAAAAAGTGATCATTTCTGCTAAATGTCCTAAAATAATTGGTAACTGATTGAATAAGTAACGTCACAAGCACATACATGTGAGTTTGGTCAAATTAAAGGGTCGGTTTCTTTAGAATATGTAGACGTTTGAAAGTGATTTTAAAATAATTGAAAATGTTTTTAGACACACCAAATCGCTTATATTTGGCAAAAAGAAAAAAAGTAAAAATTCTTCTAAGTTTAAAAAAAATACTTGAAATATTTTCTGAAAGAAACACTTGTTATGTGCTTGAAGTACTTTCGTTAGGACCACTTCAAGTAAAGTGGTTTTTAAAGAAGCATTTGCAAACACAACCTAGGGTCATCAATCTTTTTCCTGGGGTTAAAATGCTTAATTTTCAATGGCTTCTGGTTCTGCATATTGATATTGAAACAACAAAACAAATGCATGCAAATTGAAAGCTAAAAACAACTCTCAATACATCACAAAAGCCGTTTTCGATTATCAGAAAGCGCTTTTAGCTATTTCAGAATAGAATTATACAGAAGTGAGTTGCACGTAGTCCCTTTGGAGACACTCGGCTTCGGTGGTTGATTTAGGGATGTAATTAAAACTGAAATAAAAAAATTTGAGTTGAGAAAGAGAGACAGATAGGGAATTAGACCTGGAGGAGGTGGTGAAGGGAAAGAAGGTCGGAGTCTTTCTCTTTGAGGAGGAGGTTGAAGATGCGCCGCTCCCTGAGCTTGTGGAGGAGCAACACTCCGAGCAGCGCTGCCCCGAATGCCAACACCAACATCAATCCATATGACTTCCCATTCCCTCTGCTGCCGCCGCTGCCGCTGCCACCACTTCCATTCCCCTTGCTGTGATTGTTATAAGATCCCATTCCCATCACCCTCAATGGAATATCTCCCTCACTCTCCCTCTCTAATTAAGTAAGAGGGTGGTCAGAGTGTTTGCATGTTTTGGTTGCTTGCTTGTCATCTAAAATTGACCCTCCAACTAATCTAGTACAACTCTCTCTTTCTCTCTCATATAACTCACAGAGAGGAGAGACGAGAGAGGAGAGAGAGAGCGGAGTTCACAAGGACGAAGTGTGAGTGAGGAATCATGGGAACTGTGCTCAGGGCACTGATATTCTGGAAACTCTACTCTTCTTTTTTTATGACTTTTTTTTTTTTTTTATTTGAGATTTTCCATGTTTCCGTTTCTAAATTACAAAGCTGTCCTTTTGTCTTGCAAAAATATATGCTCGTATGAAAAATATTTTTAAATGATTAAAAGCATTTTTTTTTAAGAGAGATAATTGGTGATAAGGTATGTTTATCTATTTTTTTTTTGGAGCCTGAAATGCCTCACAAGTCTGTCTTCCACACCAGCAGCAGATTTCGAACCGAGACCTTTAGTTTTTAATTTTAAGAAAGCCTCGTAATCCATCATTTACTACTAAACCACCAGCTTGTGGTTGACTAAAAGCGCTTTTAAATAAAATACTTTTGGAATCAATTTTTTGCATAAATATTTTAAATGCTTTTAAAACTTAAAAAATATTATAAAAAAAAAACTCTTTCGATTATTTAAACGCATTATCCAAACGAGTCACACTATGTCAATATGTAGATGGAAATTGTTTTGATCCAAAATTATGGGGATTGCCATACTTTTTTCCCACAAAAAAATTGATTACTGAAAAATAATTTATGCAACAAAAAAAAATTACAAAATATTATGACAGATAAAAAACCACACCAATTATTTTTGTCAATAAAGAATCCCAAATTATTGAATGTAAATTGTAAGGTTTCAATTTTACTGGAAGTCCCTATCACCTTGGATTCCAAATTGGGCTAAGGCCCACCACCTTCCAAAACCCGATCCAAATTCACAACCCGCCACAACGCCACTACCGCCAAATCCATTCATTGGCGAGCAGTTCTTTGCACTGTCGACGGACGCTTCCGGGGCCAACACACAAAGGTAACTACTTCACCGTATAAAGTTTCTACCTTTATCTGTTTTCCCTCCGAAATCGCCTCCCATGGCGGATGACATCTTCGGCGAAGATTTTCTGAATTTGGAAGCGACCCACCAAAAGGAAGGTTTCGAGGAAGGCTACAGAGACGGCTTGGTCGCTGGAAAGGAGGAGGCGAAGCCGACGGGTGTCAAAACCGGGTTCGAGGTGGGCGAGGAGCTCGGGTTCTACAGGGGATGCGTGGATGTTTGGAACTCCGCGATCCGGGTCGACCCAACCCGGTTCACGCACCGGGTACAGAAGGCGGTGAGGCAGATGGAGGAGATGATTGAGAAGTACCCGATCATGGAACCGGAGGACGAGAGCGTCGGGGATGTGATGGAGGCTCTGAGGTTGAAGTTCCGGGCGGTTTGTGCTTCGTTGGGTGTGAAATTGGAGTATAAGGGGTACCCAAAAGGTGCTTCTGAGGCTACGGAGACGTCATTTTGAGAGGGTTGTTGTCGTTTTGGTGGAATTAGGGTTAAAGGTGGAAACTTTGGTTATGGGGGAGTGTTAGTGTTCTTGATATGTATTGAAATTACTTTTGGTTCTGGTGTGTGACTACTGACTAGTTTTGTCTAAATTAGAATACAATTGTGCAGTTTTTTCGTCTTTTCGATTTGTTAGTCATTTGTTTGTGGCATGTTATGAATTCTGTTGTGTTCTACTTGTTGTGCAAGAAATGTATCAGCAGAGCATGGTTTATTTCAAATTTCGGTTTTGTTGAGATGCTTTTATCATCAGCCACTAGTAGCTACCCGAACTTGTGGCTAAGGTTAGATGAGATTGTGATCAGATAAGAACAATGGCCACATTGTTTTTTGGTGGTGTCTATTTCGTTATCGTAATCTGTAAGGTTTTTCTGCAGTTGGTGATGAGCAGGAGGGAGAGAAAATGTTGAAGTCGATGCTTGGTTGCTGCAAGGTTTACATATCCGAAAGCAGAAACAGGGCAGCGCTGGAATCAGTCGAACGGGCTGCTAAGCTTTTCTCGGAAGCACCGATTGTGAATAAGTTCGAAGATGAAACGTACAACAGAGTTGGTTACACACTTGTCTCTACGTTGGCTCCAAAGCCGTCTGTAGATCCTAGTCCTTTGAAGATGGCAGTGCTTGCCATGGTCAAGGCTGCTTTCGAAACAATTGATCTCGAGTCACATTGTGGAAGTCATCCGCGGCTCGGAGTTGTGGATCATATATGCTTTCATCCCCTTCTCGGTGCTTCTTTGGAGCAAGTGGCTGGTGTTGCAAACTCTTTGGCTGCAGAAGTTGGCTCTAGTCTTCAAGGTTTGCTTTTATTCTCTTCTTTTCTTAGGGTTAATGCCCCTAAGTTGCTATATACAAATTATGTGATAATTTAGAAACAGTCGAATTCGAACAATATGCGACAGTTTACCTAATATATGAATTGCTAATATCTTAAATATGGCCTGCAGTTCCTACTTTTCTCTATGGAGCTGCCCATGAAGAGGGAAGAACGCTTGATTCAGTCAGAAGAGAGTTAGGTTATTTCAAGCCGAATTCTAGCGGAGAACAATGGGTTGGGGGACCGAAATCAGATTACTTGGCGCTGAAGCCGGACAAGGGTCCCCCTCAAGTGACTCAAGGAAGGGGTGTCATTGTGATTGGAGCAACCCGGTGGGTTGATAACTATAATGTCCCGGTCATCTCTACTGATATTGCTGCTGTTCGTAGAATTGCAAAACGAGTGAGTGGCAGGGGAGGCGGACTTGCTTCGGTCCAAGCCATGGCACTTGCGCACGGTGAATCCATCATCGAAGTCGCTTGCAATTTGTTGGAACCAGAGAAGGTGCGAGGAGATAGGGTTCAACTTGAAGTTGAGAGGCTTGCAAAGGAAGAGGGTATGAGAGTTGGGAAAGGCTACTTCACTGATTTTTCTCAGGAAAGATTAATTGAAAGTTACTTGAAGTCGGATTTCAGTACAAACAAAATGTGTTTCTAGATTGTAAAAGCACTTTTAATGTGCACTAGGACACATATTACTCCTAATAAAAGTGCTTCTAGCTTTTTTTTTTTTTTTTGTCTAGAAGCTCTCTTAAACAAGCTCTTAGTCACTGTCGATTACTTACATCCCGTGATGAGACTTATAACTTGTTTGGTTGAAGTTTCCCCATCCATCGTTGTCAACACAACATCCAAACGTTGGTTACTTTCTATTTATTTTTCAATTAACTTGAAACTTTGTCATTGTTCTTGGTGTGTAGATAGAATCAATGTATCTTATTTCTTAATCTTATATATATTTTTTATAATATAATTATGGAAGTTGTATTTGGTGCTTCATGATTTAGTACATCATCCGACAAAGCATGGCAATTATGCATATCCATATATTTGATTCGGTGCACAAATCCTTCATCTATTAGTACATGACAACATTCTGAATGGTAGTTGAAATTTTGTGAAAGAATTGTATCTTCCTTTTTCTCTTCTTTTTTTTAAGAAAAGAAATCAACTGGTGATGGAGCCATGACAATTTACCATTTCAGAAGTCACTCCAATTACGGACTTCAAATTCAGGATCAGTTGTATGAACTGCAGACTTAGAATTCGCTCCAACTACTGGGATGTGGAAAAAGCTCAGCTTTTATAGAACGGTCCAGAGATGATAGGTCCTTTTTCTGAGAACCTGTGAGGACCTCCTTTTTCTCACAAGCAAAAAAAAATGGGAAGAATGGAGTCGAGGTTGAGCCATCACCACAAAGGAATATAAAATAGAATGGTGCTATTAGGAGAGCATTAGATATGAAACCCAATTAAGAGAAGAATGGTGCTCTCGATTAAATTACAGTTTCCATTCTACTTTTTTTTCGACAGAGGGGAGGGAGAAATTGGAAGAAATTGAAATTAATACAACCACAAAGGAAATACCTTTTCGTAGCTTCGAAGAGAATTTTAATTTTCCTAGGGCACTGTGAAATCGGGTCGCATTGCTCTCCTTCAAAGTAAAAAATTTGAGCGTGAACCCTATTTTTATTTTTTTAGGTGTTTTGATTTTGTTTTAGTGTAACAAGATTATATAAACTCAATAGTTTTTTTACTGTTAGATTAATCTTATGACTAATATAAAAGAAGTCTTTACATCTTTATAAAAAAAACTTTGGGAGAGCACTTCTGGATAAGATAGAGAGACGCGTAATTTTATAAAATCAGTCAAACTTAAGAACATAAATTTTGCTTTGAAATCGTTAAAAGCGCTCGATCTTCGAGTATTCACTACAACACGAATCACACACAACAAATTGATATACTAAAAATCTCTGATAAAATATTCATATGTAATCTAATGTAGAGAGTACCTTACATGGTCCGTTTTAGAGATAAATGGTGTACTAATTCACATATTCTGAACCACTAGAGTCTTCCATGTAACTCCCGACCCGTTTGATCTAAAATCCAACAAATGCGTCAATAATTTGTAGGACAATGTTAATAGTTGCGCGTGGGGGTTAGGTTTTCACGTTTACCTAACCCTAGGCTGTTTTAGCCCCACCTCCAAAACTGCTTCTGAGTACCTTTCAATTAAAGGAAACATCCATAAAAAGAAGATAAAAGGTACCTTATCAGAAGAGAGGATCGGAGATACTCCGATCACGTCTGGTCATCGTATATTGTGCGGTTAGTTTTTATCAGGTATTATTTATATTTAATTTTAAATAAAAAAATTACAATAATTTCTAACCATACAATGTACGATGAACAAATGTGATTGAATGATCTTCTCATAATTCTCACAAAGAGAATCCGGTGAGAATCCTCTGGTCTTATCAGAACCCTAATTCTGGAGTTGTTTCCAGAAAAATGCAGATAGATAAACTACATCATTTTGCAGATGTAAACTTATTCCAAGTTAAATAGAAAAGCGTGCTATATCTCTATCTAACTTTCGAATCTCCCTTCCAGCAATTTAAAGATGAAAAATTATAACAAAAAAAAATATATGCTTTTACATTCTGTAATTTTAGCGTGCTATATTTAAGAATGCAGGCTAAATATAAGAATATCTTTAGAGATAGCTTGAAAAAAAGCTTTTGTGCTAAGCTGCTTATACATTCACCATGCGGTTTTGTTAATTTATTAGATATTGAGAATGGACTTGTCAAATTGTGGGGACATTCGGGGATACGGATGCCGCGTCAATGCTGACTCGTCAACTTGGCTTTTATATAAAAGCACTTATCAATCTATCAGATCTCAAGAAGCAGAAAATAATTTTCAGCTGCAAAGACTAAACATTGGAGAGAGAAGAAAATGGATTTCAGCCAAGGATGCAAGGTAACAACTCTTTCTTCTTCTTCTTCTTGAGTGTAGACGCGTCGGCTTTCCCGGCCTTGCATGCATCGCCTCTTTCTGTATCTCTCGTTAAGTCACGTGGTCATGTCACTTAATCACTGTGATCATTTAACGTGTTCTTTGACAAGAGATATGTAAGTTTTTCCGGTTGTGTGCAATATTATCTTTAATTTCTCACCGATTATATGTGCGATTTGTTAATCTGTAGGAACAAGAACCATACATCTAAAATCATTTATGTTGGCTTTATTTGTAATGTTCTACAAACAAATTAGATGATTGAGATTGAAAATAGAAGACCTAAACAATTGTGAAAATCAAATTTAACGACTTAAAACACTCATAACTATGAATAATGAGTAACATTGATGTCACCCTCAAAACCATGAGCTGTTAATCAAAGCTTTCTGTGGGCTAATACCTGCGGGGAAGGAGAAACCATGATCAACCAGAAGAAACTGTATTAAATTATTAATAATTAATAAACATAATAGCCATACACTTGTCAGTATCCTAGTGGAAGTTCATGACATGATGTGATTCACGTGAAGACGATATTCTTACTTAATGTTTCTTGACTTTAAATAAGGACTTGGATTGTCTGCCTTCCCCTTCCGTGCCTTCCTGTTTTGTGTGGTCACGGTTAAGCCACGTTAATATTTTATATTATTTTTTTATAAAAATAATAAAACAAAAAAAATATATATAAAATGTTGACGTGGCTTAACCGTGACCACAAAAACAGAAGGGCACGAGGAAGGCACAGAAATTGGAGGGCAGAGAATCCAAGTCCTTAAATAATCAAGTGATTAAGACCATTTTAATTTCTAATTTTCCACTATATTACTTGACATAAAGTCTACTTTTTATTATGCAGACGTGACTTAAATAGCATGTTTGTTCCTTTGCACTTGAGTTTGAACTTCTTTTTGTTAAATTAGAGTAGCTTAAAACATTGTTTTACGTATGATTTCATTTTATCTCGTTAAAACTCGTGAATGAGATATTATTGACGCTAGGACAAGAAGAAGAAAACAATAGACCAGTCCATGCTACTCTGCTGCAAGCTTTACATATCCGAATCACGAAACCTCGCTGCCCTCGACACCATTGAGCGTGCCGCTAGGCTCGACCCGGAGTCAGTCATAGTTAACAAATTTGAAGACCGAGAATACAATAGGGTCCGGTACACTATTGTGTCATATGTCATGCATGATAGCACAGGAAGTGCCATATACAGCCCCTTGCAGCAAACTGTCATGGCCATGACTGAGGCAGCCTTTGGAGCCATCAACCTTGAGCAGCACTCGGGCGCTCACCCTCGGTTGGGGGTTGTCGATGACATTGTCTTCCACCCGTTGGCTCGGGCATCTCTGGATGAAGCTGCTTGGCTTGCTAAGGCAGTGGCCGTCGATATTGGTAATAGATTCCAAGGTTAGTCCTAAGGTTTTGAACACCATTTTTATGCTGAGTTCGAATCTTTCTGCCCGTAATTTAGGTTAATTTAGCGTAGATTATAGCACAAAAAAAATTAAAAACATAAAAAGCTAATCTTTTAACTTGTACTGCAGTGCCAGTGTACTTGTATGCAGCGGCACACCCTACAGGCAAGGCCCTAGACACGATCAGGCGTGAGCTGGGCTACTACAGGCCAAATTTCATGCCAGATGCTCTCCAAGAAAAGCCCGACGAAGGCCCAACTTGCGTATCTCCGGCCAGAGGTATCACAATGATCGGGGCACGTCAGTGGGTTGGCTTGTACAACATTCCCATAATGTCCACGGATGTCGCGGCCACTAAACGGATTGCACGGATGGTGAGTGCCCGAGGGGGCGGACTCCCAACCGTGCAAACACTAGGATTATTGCACGGTGAGGACTCGACGGAGATAGCTTGCATGCTCTTAGATCCCAACCAAGTCGGAGCGGACCACGTCCAAAACTACGTCGAGATGCTTGCGGCACAAGAAGGGTTGGACGTGGAGAAGGGGTACTTCACTGATTACTCACCAGATATGATTACTGAAAAATACATGAAACTAATTTCATCTGCAGAACAATGATGGCAAGTGGATATTGTGAACTTGGATCTTCTATTTATATTTCTAAAAGAAATTCAATGTCTTTTTACATCGCGCTTGTAAATCTATGGTTACATTAATCTACATTTCGGTTTTTTTCCAACTCTTAGCCCTGCTCTGTCATGTACATTGCTTTTTTCGAAAATCTTCGGACAATAGAGTATGAAGCAGCTCTTGGAACCTCCCCGAACCAGGACCTGGCTTAAACACTGAATCGTTACCACGCACGGAGCATGGGTCAGCCCCGCCTTCAGGGCTGCCTATGCACCACCCCCCAGGTGCAAACCGGTTTGTGCGACCTAGAAGCTCTTTATCAATTTTGTCCAACACTGGGTCATCCTTCGCAAACTTTCGAGCAAAGGGAGCGTTGCTCTTCACCATTTTGTCAAAGTCCTTCATTGACAAAGAGATGGGATGCTGCTTAGGAGGGCTGTCCCAAGCAATGTAGTGGAGATCGTGACTTATCGCAGTGTGGCGATATTCCTCATTGTCGCAAATAATAGTATGAAAATAACCTTCCGGAGAAGAAACAAAATTTGTGTAGTACATAAGCATTGTACGTGGGAGGTTATCCCATCCCCATATACAATACTCGAGAAATGATCGCGTTAGCATTACCCAAGCAGAACCTGCACACAAAGAAAATTGCAAAATAAGAGAAACTATTTATTTAAACAGTGATTGATTGCTGATTGCAACATGAAGACTGAAGTCATAAAGATTATTTCTAATCAGCAAAGCGAATCTTATCTTGCAGAAGAAACGGAATTTGACATGGAAAATTTTCATCTTTGTTCTATTTCCCCCCTTTGCCGGGGCTGAAGGAAGCGGAAAGTTTTGGTGGAACATTCGACAGAAATATAGTCTTAGCTGATCCTTTTAGATTGGCTTTGTAGTTGAAATATGTATATTAGTTTGATTTGCATGTGATTTCTTTTCACAGCAAATTAGACTAGAATCACCTTCACTCCGGGTTACTGTCCAATCCAATCTATGATCTATCAGTGTGAATCTGGTGTAACTTTAGCCCCATGTAGGATGATTAAAACTCCCTTGGCCAGATTTAAACAAGCGGGGAAAATAAGCATTTCCATTCTAACACTAATAAGTTTGGAAATATGTTTGATATGTAATGTTATATAAATATTCAACAAAAAAAGATTCAATAAAAACTCATATAAATGAAAATGGGCTGACAATTATCCAGGGTGCTCTATACAGTGTGCATATATAAAAGGTGCTCTCTCTCTCTCTCTCTCTCTCTCTCTCTATATATATATATATGTATATATAATTCTAAATACCTGTGAACAACTTGAATGATGTAGGAAGTGATCGGCGCTGAGTAGTCGATGCAAGGTCAGATTTTTTTGATAAGTACAGGCCTGGATCAATTATGATAGGTTTTGCTCTTTGGTTCCTGCAAAAGAAGGCATTATAGCATAACAATGATTACGTAATGGTTAAAAGGTCGTACCCAGTGCACAAGGCTCCCGCACGCAGGGTCTGGGAGAGGTGAATGTCGGCTAGCCTTACCCCCATTACGTAATGGTTAACTGCAAAAATGAAATACCCTCTTGCTAGGCTATACTTACAGTTTCCATCCAGTGAGCTGCATATGTTCAATAAAGTTGATGTTTCTGGAAATATTGGAGAAAGCATGAAGCAAATCTGCACCATTAGGAAACCGATCAAGTAACATAGAGTAGACTGTATCACAGGCACAAAGCTAAATAACAAATGTTCTGGGTGCAGCTTAATTAAACAGCACCATGAGATTGCAGTGGTAAACCAACAGGACGGAGCAGTTTTCACTCCTAGGACCAGAAAAACTCCCATAAATGAAAGGTAGCATAGATAGGCATCAGAACTGAATATCCCAAACTAATATCTTCGAAAAAATATGGTACACTGTACACATTTGATAACTGCCTTAGAGGACTCTAGAACATAGGATCTTAAAGGACTATTTCATAGACGAACAGTCAATGAGGACAGACTTCATCAGGTATTCGAGAAAAATGTCAATTCATGGGGTACCGATAGAGCATTGTGTATTAGCAGGCAAAACTTAGTTATATACATAGGGTTCATTAGCAAGCAATAATTATTATCAACAACTGTGACACGGTAAGAGATACAGAATATATTGAATCAGCAGCAAGCCACTCACTCTGCTACCACACTAAGAGGGTTGAAAATTTTGTCTTTTGAAATTCCCAACCCATCAATCTCAACAATAAACTCACTTTAACCCATTACCAAATACAGAATCCAGCTTTCCCTTCTGAGAAAGTCCGTCATAATTAAAAGTAATGCAGCTACACAAATCCACACTGCGACAATTATTATTGCTTCACAATTCAGGCAAAAAAACAAAGTTCTTAAAATGAAGAATGTGGCCAGCACCGTATTACCAGGCCATATAGAAGAAAAGAAACTCAAACACAAGCAATGGAATTGCAACCCAAACCATTACCCAATGCACAAAATATGTATCAAATACCTCTAACTATCGAGGCAGGAAACATTATGCAATCATATTACAACATCGATCATGAATCATGATCAACAAAAGTAACAACGAGCAAAGAGAAAAGTCTGATACTAACCATCTTGTGTCATGAGAGGATAATCTGATGCACTGAGGTTTATAAACCAGTCCCACTCTGAGCTCTCCTTTAATAGAATGGAAATGGCTTGCAGAGTACAAGCAATCATCGTAGGGCCCTTATAAGTCACCAAATTGGATTGAGACATAACACGCACATTCTCTACTTCACGAAAAGTAAGATCAGCCTTCACTAAACTTGCCAATTCCAACCTTTCACGAGGCGGAGCCTCAAGATCCAAATGCAGGATATATTGATTTCTTGGATGATACACCGCACTTAAAGTCCTCATCATCCTATGACTATCACCCTTTGTACCCGATATAAGATACGCTAAACTAGGTGCCCCACTTTTGGAACCCCCATTGGTGTCCAATGATCTTTTCAAATCAGATTCAACAAAATACCCACTTGAGTCATCTGGTTTTGAGAAGGGAATAATGTCGAATGACAACTTCTCTCCAGCGTGTGGAGCGGTAAAGATCCCGGAAATGGCAGAGAAAAAGAGGGTGATGAATATGATAAAGCTAGCAATGAATGGAATAGCCCAAATCCTATCACCAATCACCCTTGCTGAGTGATGATTTACATACTTCCTCATACTCGTTTACGGGTTCCTATCCAACAAAATTTCGGCTAAGAACCCTAAAACTCTATCAGCTCACAAACCCAGAAAGGTTTATCAAATTCAAAGCAAAACCGACATATTCTGAAGATTCTAGAGCTAAAGAGGAGCAAAGAGGGTCGGTTACGGAACCCAAAAACGCCACTTTAATGAGCAAATGAATAACATCTAAGCTGGGGGTTAACAATTTTTTGCAATAAATACATGGGTTCCGATCAAAATTGCATAAATTACAGAACTTTTGGCATTGAGGAGCTACGACGGCCAAAAGGGCATGTGAAAAAATGTATACTTCATATATTCAGAGAGAAAATAGATGCTTACAGTGATACGTTGGCACCGAGGAGTAACGTCAAAACGAATTTAAATCCATGGGAGTTAGTTCAGAGTTCCATGAATGGAAAACGTCCCTTTCGCTTAACTAACCCAGATCTAACTTACCCAAATTGAAGACAAAACCAAAGTTCTAAGCATAGAAGCTTCAAGCAATGGAGTTTGGCAGAGAGAGAAAGTGAGAGATAGAGAGAGAAGGAAATGCTTACTCAGGTAGAGAGGTCCTAGAAAAGATTCAGAAACAAGAGAAAGCTTGGGACTGAGAAATCAAAAGGCTTTAAGTGATGAATTTTGGCAGCTTTCTGATAAAATTGGGGTAGAGAGAGAGAGAGAGAGAGAGAGGGGAAATAATGGGTGAATAAGTATGAATACTTTGCTTTAACTGTGGGCAAAAGCAGAGTTTAATTAAGCAAAATTGATAATTGTTTATAGTAAATTAGTCTATAGATTATAGGAAAATGAATGTACAAGCAACAAGTGATGACACCATAGATGTACCCCACCTCTATTACTTTAATCAATATTGAAAAACACTATATTGTTCACATAGTTTTTTTTTTTTATTTTGAGGAATTATGACATTAAACCTTTACATATGGGGTAAAATGAGTTCAAATCTTCTGCATCTATTTTGTGTATGGTATTTCTATGATTTTCTATGAATAATAAGTGTCACAAAAAAAAATCACATTCAAAATAAGAGCATAAAGTTTAAATAATAATTATAATAATAAAGTGCATATGATTTGAGCTCCTTGTTAATAAGCCATGACCCCATACTTAAATGAAATGAAAAGTTAGGTGAGATTTTGAGGAAAATGATCATTCTTTCCCGGGAGATTCTAAGAATTTCGTGATCGTAATCGTTCATTGTACATCGTGAGGTCAATTTTTGTTAGATACTATTTATATATTTAATTTTAAATTTTAAAATGATTTCTGAACGCACAATATACGATGAACGATCCAAATCATAAGATTTCCAAAACAAAAAAAATCCGGCAAAGATCCTTTTCCAGATTACTATAGATCACCGCCGGATCCTTTTCCAGATTACTATGGATCACCTTAACTCTATGAAGCGGGATCCTTTTCCAGATTTTGACTATAGATCACCTTAACTATATGAAATGATTATGTCGTAAACAAAATCTATATATTGTAAGGTGTGACTCACATATATGATACATCTTGTGGTGAGGATCCTTGATATCCACAACCAAAAATAAAAAATTGAAGTCTCTATTTTTGTTCTGGTTATACATTAATTTTTACATTTTGCTTCGCAATTAAAGAGTGCTTCTAATAAAATCATTATTCAAAAATATCAAATTTCAAACATCTTTCAATTAGAAATAAAAATACCACTTGGTATACGGAAATTGTGATTATTAATTTAATTAAAATCCCTCGTGGAAAAATAAGAGAACATGTATATACTTTGCATATATGCTTAAAGGGACTTGCTCCATGGACACTTTGATATTACTATTCCTAGTAACCTTGTAACTAAGCTAACCTAGTAGCTTGAACTTGTAACTAAGTAGGTCATGAACATAATTTGTGGTCTTAGTTTGTTTAATTTGGGTGAAGTCAAGTCACACAAAGCACTCTCGTAAACTCTCAAAACTTTTGTTGCTCCACCCTGAGCAAGGGCGAAAACCCGTCACTGTCTTGGTCATACCATAATAAAAAAGTGTCATTAATTGTTTAAGAGGAAATGAGACAAATGATACAGTTAAGGAAACATTTGATAAGGTATTTCAACTTCTGTGAAAGTATATATGTTTGGATTGATGAAGAAAATGAAACAAAAGATACAGTAAAGGAAAGATTTGATAAAGTATTTCAACTCCCAAGAAAGTATATATGTTTGGATCGACGGAGAAAATTAAACTTGGCATTTAGACTACAAAAGCTCATTATTTCACTAATACTTACATTCCCAAAAGTCATCTGCCACTTCCTTTGTATGAAAGGAATTCACTGTACACAAGTTAAACAATGATCAAGTTTTTCAAAACACTAATAGTCGACAATCAATTTTGTTCAGTCATAAATTTTTGGGAGGACAAGATGCATGATTCAAAAGCAGCTCTGATTCCTCGTTAGTTCGCTTGTAACGATTCGTCTTTCAGCAACTTACGGCTAAGTACATTTAGCAATGCTCTCGAATATTGACGAGAAGCCATTTTCCAGTCCATGCCAGTTTTCATCATTGCTTTAAACTCTTCAAAACCTATTCGCCCATCCTATTAAAACACACATCAAAATCGTTAACATGTGTAAGTCTGCAAGTATACTACTATGGTACCAACTTAACTCTTCATTTTCTGGACATCGTTCGTACTGTGTTCACAGACTGCTACGACCTTAATCCTAAACTCTAAAACTTGTGTTAGTAATATCAAACAGCAGAAAACTTAAGTTGGTACCAATAGTATAAATCAGAAAGCATATTAAGTTGGTAGATTTGTAAGAATCCAAATGGATATACTTGAAAATTAATTACCTTGTCCAAGTCAACATCAAATATGATGTCTTGGATAACCTGCTCGTTATCTGGACCAAGTTTGTCATCCAGCAATGCTTCTCTCAGCTCATCGAACTCAATATATCCGCTGTTATTCTTGTCGAAATAGCCAAAAGCTTGATGGAGAAATTCATCGCTGTCTATCTTTTTTAAGTGAACAGACACCATAACGAATTCATCGCAGCTCAGTGTGCCATTTCCATCAGCATCCGCCTTTTAAATATGTACAGAGAGATTGTTAGATATGGTAGAACGTGAAAATGAAAAGAGATATAAAAAAAAAAAAAAAAAAAGGCGTTAGAGCAAAATAAACTCACAGCATCCAACAACATCTGCACATCAGGATCAGCGACATTGTGTCCGATCTTCACAAGACCATCTCGAAGTTCTTCAAAAGTCAAGTTTCCGTTGTTGTCAATGTCCATCATTTCGAATATCTGTCTGATTCCATCTATTTGATCCTCTGGCAAGTTATCCGCCACCACCTGAAGTTATGAATAATTCAACAGTTAACGAGGCTTGTGAAAGCATCAAAGAACCACCTTTAACAATTAGTGAAAGAAAAGAGATTCGGGAAATTGCGTACTCTAAGAACTTTCTTCTTGAACTTATTCATTAACGAGAACTGCTTGATCCTTAATGTGACATTTTCTCCCAGAGGAACATTAGGAACTTGATTCCCGTTTCTTATCCACGGATGATCTTCATATAAAATGATAGGGAATGGTTAGTACAATTTTTAAGAACTCCACTTGAGAACAACTACTGCACTTTCAAAGACATGCTAAGTGAAAGAAACAGAGCCATTGTATACTATATTTTTTGCTCATATACGTACCTAGGACTTCTTCAACTTTGAGCCTGTTGCAAGGATTTGGATCAAGCATGCTCCTCACTAGTTCTTTTGCTTCCTCCGAAACATTTTTCCATGTCTCCCTCTCGAAATCTATTGTACCCCGAACAATAGCCTGTGCAATTCCTTCCTCAGTTTCTGGACTAGGTATAAACCCAACATTAGAAAGCATCTCGAAAACAATATATTCACTCATTTTTTTTGTATATCATATGCACTGAAGTTAACCAGATTCTTGAGAAGAAAAAATAAATAAATTCAACCACAACCAAAATTTAAAACGAATTTACCTGCCCAAAATGGAGGCACTCCACAAAGTAGGATGTAAAGGATAACCCCTGAACTCCAAACATCAACTTCCGGCCCATAATTACGCCGTAGCACCTCCGGAGCCATGTAATATGGACTTCCAACAATTTCGTTGAATCTCTGACCTACCAAAATATTTTCAAGATTCGAAATCAACATTTGAAAAAGCAATAATAAAGAGAGGTCATGTTTTGTACGATACCTGGTTCGAAAAATATAGAGAGGCCGAAATCAATTGCCTTTAATTCTGCATTTTCACTACCATCTGCAAAAAGGAAATTCTCTGGTTTCAGGTCCCTATGTATCACTCCATGCTTGTGGCATACCTGCAAAAAATAATAATAATGATCAATTAGATAAAACAGCCTGACAACTTCAAGAGAACGGAACTCAAAGATATTATATATATATATATATATATATATATATATATATATATATATATATATATATATCTATACCTGGCAAATCTCAAGTATTGTCCTGGTAACAGTGGCGGCAGCTCGCTCCGTGTAATGCCCTTTTGCCACAATCCTATCAAAGAGCTCGCCGCCTTCGCAAAGCTCCATGACAAGATAAACTGCCTCCCTATCCTCATAAGCCTCCTTGAAGCAGACAATATTCGGATGCTTAGGCAAACGGCGCATGATCTCAGCCTCCCTCCTCACATCCTCGACATCAATCTCCGTCTTCAGCTTGCTCTTCGATATGGTCTTGCACGCAAAAGCCTCCCCCGTCTCCCTGTGGACGCATCTGTAGGTGATTCCAAACTCCCCTCGCCCTAATTCATTGCCAAACTGGTACTTGCCGAAGATGTCATTACCGGCAGTCTTGTCCAGCACCCATATAATAGTGCTGTGGTGGGGAACCGGTGCAACGAACGACCTGCGTGGCGACGAGTCGTGTACACTGCTTTGAGGTAAAGGTTTGATGATGTCTCTTCGTCTGTGGTGGAAACCTGCTTTCGCAGGTGTGCATACGCAGCTTCCCATGGGAATGAGGAAGGGGTAATTTGGTCAATTAAATCTGCAACATCGATCCCATGGGAAGAGAGAGAGGGAGAGAGAGGCAGAATGCTAGAAAGAGAGAGATTGAAGAGGGACACTAATTTTGGGAAATGTTTGCGTCTGGGAATAGTTTTGAAAAACAGTTGGTTTTGGTTTTAAGGCGTCCCGCCATTTTCTTAGGGTTGTTTTGTTACCGTTACACTTGACGGCACAGCTTTACTGTCGTTAGGTATATCCCCGTCGTCAATCTGTGTCATTTGGTAGCCCTGAGAACTAACGCCGTCAACCGAAGTCAAGTGTGGTCGTTGCTTGGTATTTTGTTAATCAAAATTATTAATTTGCATAAATTAAGAAAATATAGCCTCATAACCATCAATCACTAGTTTTCTTTAGATGGCATAACCATCAATCACTAGCTTTCTTTAGATGGCATATGACCACGTATAATAACAAACAGGTTGAGTTAAATACATAACATTATAGGGGTAGATCGTTCTACATTCAAATTTGCGAATTATCAAATCAACAGTTAAACTGATGCAGGTAAGACCAAGGATCTCGAAAAGATGAGGGATAGATAACCTGGGAATCACTCAACCAGGGGCAACGGAGCTCACTCACGTCGCTAATCGTGGATTCGCTCACACAACCAAGCCAAA